CTGTCACGGGAGACGGTAGTCAGAGACCCTAGTGCTAGGGAGAGACATCAGGCTGTGTATACTAGGTATGCTGTCTGCGGATGGCTATCAATGCCGAGTAACCATTAGACAGAAGAGCTAGAGCGCGAAGGATCATCGTAAGGAAGGAAATAAATATAGTGCAGCATTAAAGACCTCTAACAATATTATAACTAAAGGTAATTAACAGTATGATAACTTACATACCAATCATACACATACACAGACATACACGCACACACACATATAGTATATAAACATAAGTGAATGCATACATTCATATAAACACATAAACACATTATATATATATATATATATATATATATATATATATATATATATATATATATATATATATATATATATATATTAAAACATACATATATATACATATACATAAATGTATACATACATAAATACATACATTTATATATATATATATATAATATATATATATTTATATATATATATATATATATATATATATATATATATATATATATATATATATATATATGTATATATACGTACATGAACATATCTCCATATACATATATATACATACATATATATTGTCAACAATATGGTCTACTGGATGGATGTCAACAATACACTCTGTCCTCCCAAGGTCGAAACGGAAGCTGTGACTTCCGTCTCTCAGTCCAGAACAGCTTTTTTCCCACCTTCTTTGCCAGCCCAAGACTTTCTTTTCCGGCGACCAGCCCTTCGTCACGCCCGGAAGAATGGGCACCCAAGAATATGGTACGAGGCACTCCGCCAGCAGGACAAGGAGTTGCTGGATATAAGGACGTCTCATTAGGCAGAAGAGAGAGTATGGCAATGGATTGGTATCCGCCATAGACTGGTGTCAATCATCTCTTTAAGGAGCTTTTGGGTGTGGGCGTGACTGCCCACAGGTATAGCTGGTATCCTGGAGATCGCCGGGGAGAGCCATCGGCTAAGGCCTGGGTAGGCCTTGTTGCTGCTGGCTGTGTCTTGCTCGGCTGGAGGATCGTGAGTGCTGAACTCGGCCCGAGTGCGGGAGCTTGTGGGTCTTTTAAGAGTAAATGTACCTCTTTAGTGCCAGTTTAACTATTCGCCCTCCCGAAACCCACCCACACCTTACATTTAAGTTGCCTTTTCTTAACTACTAATTCTATATTAAAAACATTCTGTTAATAATTGTTTTAACTCACAACGAAGTTACACACTGAGGTCACCGTGACCACTCACCTCACTCCCCCACCTCATTCCCCCGCCCTAACCATTCTTTAAATGTATATAATAATATATAATAAAGTCTTTCAGCCTATCGTATTATTGTTGTCTTCACAATACATAATATGTTTTACTTTTTCAGAGCAAATGACTTTAAATTCATTCAATTATTGTAATGTATCGGTTTTCCTGTGTATATTATTCGTGTCTTATAGTTGCGAAATTACGGTAATCTTTGCTTCACTTTACATGCTGTGTTTATTAGTAGTTCCTTCGTTATTGCTTGCGTTTCACTTTCATTCTGTGAATTTATACATATGGTGTGTTTGAAAATCACTCTTTTCTTGCCGCGGTAGTTGTTCGCTTATTCACACATACATGTTGACCCTTTACTCACCTATTTGACCGCTCTACACCAATTCACTCTAGGATTATTTGTACCAATTTTTATAACTGATTCTAACTCGCTTTAATGACGTCTACTCTCAATATTCGATATCTTATCGTTAGTACTGCTGGAGTTTATGCTTCTTTAGTTTTAAGGTTTTGGTGAATATGTAACTTGTAACTAACTTGATGGTCGAAATCTGTTGCAATAGGGGTCACGCACTGCAGACACCATGCTTTATCTTAACTGTAGTGGTTTGTACCTTGTACACCTGCGCGTAAGCATACCATTGCTGTTAACGATGTTTTCGCGCTGAGTTAGACTAGCCGTTGTTGTGCGATAATTTGTGCGGCGTTTTCTTTACTGTTTCGTTCACATCAAGTCAGTGGAAAAGACTTTAATGCTAAGCGTGTGCTTAGGTTTTCTATAATTAATTAAAATCGATTTTCTATACTGATTAGAATCGGTTATTAACTTAATTTTTTTGATAGCGTGATAATACGTTCATCTCTTGATGAGTCGCTAAACATGTCGCTAAACTTAATAGAGCTAGTTGTGTGCTAAGGAAGCAGGTCTTTCTGCTGCGGATATAAATGCTTTAGTTTTGAAAGAGGAAGTCAGATGTAAAGAGCAAATTGAAAGAGAAGAAAGACAAAAAGAGCGAGATCTGAAACGCGAAGAATTAGAAGTTCGGGAAAAAGAGAAACAACGCGAACGAGGCCGAGAAGCAGCGCGCTCACGAGTTGGCCCTTGCCGGTATGCGACCCGAGAACCCTTCTCTAAATGATAGTCGTGATCATTACCCTAAATTAAAGATGCCAAACTTCATCGATGGTAAGGACGATATCGATAACTTCTTGCTCAGATTTGAGAAATTAGCTGGTTTGCAAGGATGGGATTCTAATGATTATCATATTTATCTCGGTTCACTTTTGGGAGGCAAGACCTTGCAAACTTATGTTAGTTTACCGGACGATGTTTGTAAGGATTACGGTCAGTTGAAAGATGCATTATTGAAGGCGTATAACGGTGACACTGACTCGTACCGCAAAAAGTTCAGAGAGAGCAAAGTTGGTGAAAAAGAGACCTATATCCAGCTTATTACGAGAATGACCCAGTATTTAGATCACTGGTTAATCATGGGTGATGTTAAAAAGGATTATGACTCGTTTGACTTTTTGACACGTGACCAGCTGCGTAGTAATAGGCGCAAGCAGCAGATAGGTTTCGTTGTGCCCATAGAGCTGTCAGGAGTCGTAAAACACCTTTTAAGGACGTCGATGCTTTTAAGAAAGACTCGAGTGTTACCCCTAAGGATGTGATTTGTCACCATTGTTCTAAAGCGGGTCACATACGTCCTTCTTGACCCGAACTTAAATTCACGAAATCCAAGACTTCTCAGGAGGTAAATGCTACATTTGAAATTGACGTATATTACGATCATGGCATTACATGTGAAGGAACCTTGTATGATAAGCCGGTAAAGGTATTTTTTTATTCAAGTTGCTCGTCAATTATCGGTGAAGGAATCGCTCGTGCCCACCGCCGTCAAGCGATGAGAGGTCGTTGCGCTGTATGACTACCTGGGGGAGCGGCATGAATTCCCCACCGCACATTGTCATATCAGGAATAAATTCCTGAGTGGGTGGTTTACCGTCGTGGTTGCGCCGATTAAGTTATCGGATTTCCTCATTGGTATGGTGCCGGGTGTCCAGGTGTCGGGCGTGAATATACCGAGTGCCAAAACGGCCGAATCTCCTCCTCAGAGGAGCGAAGTTAAAGCGGTTGCGACGTGGGCCGCCAAAGTGAAGGAACCTGCTAGTCCTGATAAATTAACAGTTTCTGATTTCAAAATTGAGAACGTCTCGAAACCCGATTTCATTGCTGCTCAGTCTTCCTGCCCTTCTCTCAAACACATCCGTTCTAAAGAAATCAAGCCATTGTCACGGTTACAAGTCGTTCAGTAAGATTCGAACAAGTGAATGGTTAGATATACAGCATTTGCATAAAGAGCAAACACCAACACGAAGTCGGCGGGAAACAATTAGTTGTTCCCCGTAGATTTATTCCTATAATTTTGTCTACGGCTCATGATTCCCCTCTGGCAGGTCATTTTTCTTATCGAAAGACTGCTGAAAAGATCTTTCACAAATTCTTTTGGCCAGGAGCAGGTGCAGAGATCAAACGCTACTGTAGATCTTGTCTTGTTTGCCAGAAAACAGTTCCTAAGGGCAAGGTCAGAAATACACCAATGATTCAGTTGCCAATCATATGCTAACCGTTTTCCCGCGTGGCGATTGATATCGTCGGGCCCATCTCTCCGCCCTCCAGCCGAGGCCATAAGTATATATATAAGTATATGTTGACCTTGATTGACATGGCCACTAGATTTCCAAGGCAGTTCCTCTGTGGAATAAACTCTGTAACTGTTGCCGAAGCGTTGCTGACTATTTTTGCTTGTATAGGAATACTGAAAGATTCTTTCTGACCGCGGTACACAGTTTAAGTCAGATTTGATGGTGGAAATTAATAGACCATTCTATTCAAGCTTTGTACATAAGTCCGTATCACGCTTGTTGCAATGGCACCGTCGAGTGGTTTCACGCAGTATTGAAAACCATGCTGAAAAAGCTCTGCAGCGAACGACCTTGTGACTGGGATCGTTACATCCCGTCCGTTTTGTTTGCGTATCGCGAGATCCCCCACGATACGTTTAAATTTAGTTCGTTTTAGTTGCTGTACGGCCGTAAGGTACGCGGTCTGTTGTCAATTTTACATAATTTATGGACTAATGATATTGATGGAGAGGTTAGAAATATCAATATGTATTTGATGTACGATCTAGATTGGAACAGTCGGCTCAGATAGCTTCTGCTCATGCAGATGTGAGTAGCCAAATGTACAAGACTTACTTCGACAGAAAAGCTCAAGCACGTACATGAAAAGAAGGGGATGAAGTACTTGTGCTCTTACCAACTTCGCATAATAAACTATTCAGTGGAAGGGTCCCTATTACGTAAGCATGAGAATGGAATTGACTATGATATCAAAATAAAAGGAAAAATAATGCTCTATCTAAAGAAATATGAAAGACGTGAAAATGATGCTTCTCAGGTATGCCAAGCTTGCGTGATAGATGACATTTCTGATCCCGTATATAAGGCTAATGGCGTTTGTGATATACCTGAATTGTATGAGCCTGGGGAATGCGATGTTAATGTTAACTCTGAACTGTCCAATGAACAAACATTAGAGTTAAAGGATCTAATAAGTAACTTCGGACGTATTTTCTGATAAACCAGGCGTAACCAGCTCATTAGTTCATGACATTCCTTTAACTACAGATGTTCCAGTTCATACGAAGCCTTATCCTATT